GGCGAACCTCATCAACCGCGAAGAGGCCTTGCTGAACATTCTAGGCATTCCGCCGACGGTGCCGTTCAAATTCGTGCCGATCACGCCACCCACCCGCGACCGGATCGAGTTCGACTGGAACATGGTCAATCAAATCGCCGAAGTGCGACGGCCCGACTTGATCGAACTCAAGCTGATCCTCGAAGCCGATCAACAGCGGCTCCTGCTGGCCAACAATCAGATGCAACCGAACCTCGACCTGGTGGGGCTCTATCGCTGGAACGGCTTGGAAGGCCGCATGCCAAACCAGAGCCGCATCGGCACCACCGGCGACGAAGCCACCGACTGGACGCTCGGCGTCAACTTCTCGGTCCCGTTGTTCTTGCGACAAGAACGCGCCGCCCAACGATCCGCACAGTTGGTCGTCGCCCGCGATCGCGCGGTGCTACAGCAAGGGGTTCATGCCACGCAACACATCTTGGCGCTCGACTTCCGCAACATCGACCAGTTCTACGAGCAGTACGGTGCGTTCCGCATCGCGCGGGAAGAAAGCCGCAAAAACCTCGAACAGCAGTTCGCCGCGTATCGCACAGGTCGGGAAGTGTTGTTCTTGAACGTGCTGCAAGCCATCAGCGAATGGGGCAACTCGGTCAGTCAGGAAGCCCAGGCGTTGGCTCAGTACAACTCCGAGTTGGCCAACCTCGAACGTGACACCGGCACCATTCTCGAAACGCACGGCATCTTCTTCTACGAAGACCGCTTCTGCACGCTGGGCCCGCTGTGGATGTTCCCGAACCGCTGCCGGTTCTATCCCCGCGATATTCACCCGGGGAACAATGCTGACATATACCCTGTCGGTGACGAACCGGCCGAAAACTTCTTCGACCTGGACGACTACCCGCAGCGGCTTCCTTCGACCGAAGAAGTCCCCTATCGACCCGGATTCGAACTGCCCGAGACCGTTCCGCCGAGCATCAGCGACCCCAACATGACGCTACCCAGCCCGGGCCAACCGTAAGGCACCAGGCTAGTCGGCCGCTTGCGGGGTCTTCTCGGTGTTGGCAATGCAATACATTCGGGCCGCCGTGCGAATGAGCAGTTTGTCACCCACAATCACCGGGGTGGCCATGCACATGTCGTCTTCCTGCAGGTCGTTGGTGTAAAGCACCTCAAACTCAGGGCCGAGCTTACAGGCAAAGGTGACGCCGTCTTCGTTGATGCAGAACAGCTTGTCGTCGTAACTCCACGGCGAACAGGTGAACGCCCTGCCTTTAGGGATACGCTGCTTGCCATAGATCTCCGCACCCGTCTGGGCGTTGTACGAGGTCATGAATCCCCGGTCGAGCAACACGTACATTTGATCGTCGACGATCAACGGCGTGGGATGGTAGGGACCCGCGTCGGGTTGGTGCCATGCTATGTACTCGCTCGAAGTTTCGCCTTCGGGCAGCGAGATATCGCCCGTTGCTCCCGGGCGGATCGCATACATGGGGTTCTCACCCCAGATCACGTGCCCCGAAGTGAGGTGCAGCAGCCCGTCGTATTCTTGCGGCGTGGGGATCGCCAAAATCGACTTGCCTTTCAGCTTCCACAGCAAGTTGCCATCCAAGTCATACGAACGGGCCCAACCGATGGCCGAAATGACCAACTCAGTCCGCTGTTCGTTCTCCCAGATGTACGGCGTCGAGTAGTTGGTCTTCTCGTCGCGTTCCACCCGCCAGATCTCTTCGCCGGTCTTGGCATCGAGCGCAACCAGGAACGATTCTTCCTGATTGTCGTTCACCAGGTACACGCGACCTTTGTAGACGATGGGAGACTGTGAGGTGCCCCAACCCATGTGGGTTTCGCGTGGTTCTTCCAAATGCTCCCACTGCAGGTTGCCGTCCATGTCGTAGCAGAACAGGCCCAGGTTGCCGAAACGGGCATAGACCCGTTCACCGTCGGTGGTGGCCGTTTCAGAAGCCAGCGTGTTCTTGATGTGGTGCGGCTTCGGCGGGATACCTTCGTGGGCGACTTGCTCCCATACGATGTCGCCGCTGTTCAAGTCGAGGCAGTATACCTTCCAGATATGTTTGTCTTGTGTCTTCTCGTAGTTGTTCGCGTTCAGGTCCTCGATGTAGAGCCCCTTCCGCGGCGCGCGATCTTCACCCGTGTTGATGCAGGAGGTAATGAAGATCCGGTCGCCCCACACCACCGGCGACGACCACGCCAAGCCCGGCAGGTCGGTCTTCCAGGCCACATTCTCGGTGGCCGACCAATGCGACGGCGGCACTGCGGTTGCATCTTCCGCAGGCATCCGCCCGGTGAGGAACCGCGGCACGTTGTTCGAGGATTTGCTGTTGGCGGCTCGCGACTCGGCCTCGGCTGCCGAACTGAATTCGGCCTGCGTTATGAAGAGTGCTGCGAACACGGCCACGGCGATAATCTTCAACGACGATTGCTTCATCACTGGTTCCCCTCTTGGTTCTCAGGGCGACAGAACGTCTGCTCGCAGTCCCCACGGCTTCGCCGAGTTATACTACGTTCTCCCCGCCTGCGTTTCGCCATTATTGACGCAAATTGTTTCCAGATAGGGGGCTTTCCCCGCTCGATGGCAACGCCGGGGGCTTGCTCCTGGTACCCATCGCCTCTGGCTGATCGGTTCCAAAACCCCCAAAACACCGCCATTTGGCGAATTCACGCTCGCGGTTTGCTAGAATGATCGAATTGCTTGCAAACGATATTACCAGGCTGATATAAGCGCTTGTGGCGACTGAAACTTAGGCGCGTCGCGGCGAGTAGTATTACTGCCCGACGGGTTCTCCTCCGGGTGTCGTTCTACAGGTGGGTTAGCGAGTTCACGGTGCCGCACTCGCGGTACGAAATCGAAAGGTGCCTTACGATGCGCATTCTGCTGGCAGCGACCCTGGTTGCTTCATTCCTCCTGGCCCTGGCCGTATCCACCGTGGCCGCCGAAAGTGAATCGCTGATTGGCCGCCACATCGACGGCTTCGAACTCAAAGACTTCCGCGGCGAGACCCACCGCCTGGACGACTATGCCGACAGCAAGCTGGTCGTAGTCGCGTTCCTAGGCACCGAATGCCCGTTGGCCAAGCTCTATGGCCCACGGATGCAGCAGCTTAGCGAAGAGTTCGCCTCGCAGGGCGTCGCCTTCATCGGCATTAATTCCAATCGCCAAGACTCGATCACCGAGATGGCGAACCATGCTCGTATCCACAACATGGAGTTCCCCTTCCTGAAAGATGTGGGCAACGCCGTGGCCGACCAGTTCGGCGCGACGCGAACGCCGCAGATCTTTGTGCTCGATGGCGACCGCAACGTTCAATACCACGGGCGAATCGACGGGCAATACAGCTTTGGGGCTGGTGTGGGTTACGCCGCACCGCAGCTCGATCGCCGCGACCTGGCCGTCGCTCTGGAAGAACTCCTGGCCGGCAAAGAAGTCAGTGTGCCTGTGACTGAAGCCAAGGGTTGCTTGATCGGTCGGGTGCGTGAAGTGAACGCTGAGTCGGAGGTGACCTACTCGAATCAGATCGCCCGCATCTTCCAAGACCGCTGCGTGCAATGCCACCGCGAAGGACAGATCGCCCCGTTCGCCATGACCAGCTACGACGAAGTGGCCGGTTGGGGTGAGATGATCGCCGAGGTGGTTCACGAAAGCCGCATGCCGCCCTGGCACGCAGACCCGCAGCATGGCGTCTTCTCCAACGACAGTCGCCTTAGTGCTGAAGAGCAAGAACAGATTTACGAATGGGTCGCCAACGGTTGCCCCGAAGGTGATGTAGCCCAACTGCCCGAGCCGCGTGAGTATCCCGAGGGCTGGATGATGCCCCGCGAGCCCGACATGGTGATCGCCTTCGGCGACGATCCGGTCGACATCAAGGCCGAGGGCGTCGAGGCTTATCGCCACTACATCGTCGATCCCGGCTTTACCGAAGACAAATGGGTCACTTGGGCCGAGTGCATGCCGGGCAATCGCCAGGTGGTGCATCACATCATCGTGTTCATCCGCCCGCCGGGGCGTTTAGCTCGTAGCGAAGATCCCGACATCCGCGGGTTTGGCTTCCTGGCCGGCTTCGCACCCGGCACCCGACCGGTCGAGTTCCCCGCCGGCATGGCCAAGAAGATTCCGGCCGGCTCGACGTTCGTGTTCCAAATGCACTACACGCCCTGTGGATCGCCTCAAACAGATCTCAGCAGCATCGGGCTGATCTTTGCCGACCCCGACGAGGTCACCCATCAAGTGGCCACCACCGCCACGTCGAACCACGACTTCGCCATCCCACCGGGGGCGTTCGATCACAAGGTGGAAGCAACACACAAGTTCTCGCGAGACACCACGCTGCTATCGATGTTCCCGCACATGCACATCCGCGGGAAAGCCTTCCGTTACGAAGCCACCTACCCCGACGGCACGCACGAGATTCTGCTCGACGTTCCGCAGTACGACTTCAACTGGCAGAACAGCTTCATCCTGGCCGAGCCGAAGTCGATTCCCAAGGGTACCGAGATCCACTGCACGGCCTGGTACGACAACTCCACAGACAACCCCAACAACCCCGACCCCACCGAAGAAGTCCGCTGGGGCCCTCAAACCTGGCACGAGATGATGATCGGCTGGTACGACATCGCCTTCCCCGTGGCCACCGCCGAACAACTCGACGACAAAGCCGCGAAAGAAGAAGGGTTGGACAAAGCAAAGGCTGAAGAGGCCGGCTCGGATTGAGCGTGATTACAGCGCTCGGTTCTTTAGCCACGGGCAACATCGAGGACGGCTTGGCATGGTGCGCTATCCGTGGGTTCGCTTGTTCCTCATACCACTTGCGATGGCAGTACCCTTGTGGTTTCCATTCGTCACGTGGCCGTTGAGACCCGCAATCACGTTCATCGCGGCAACGGTTGTCGTCTGGTTTGCGTTTCGTAAGAACCGTACGGAGCTTTCTCTAGCCATCTGCGCGCTGGTCTGGTTTGTCTTCGGATACATCTGCGCCTTTTTCTTACTCCCCTTTGTTTTACTAGCACTACCGCTTGAGCTTGTGCATCTCTTCATCCCATCGGTAAGCGTACTGTTCTGGATGATCGGAATTGCGTATTGGTTCATGTGGCCGCAAGTAGAAAAGTACCTGCCGGCAAGATTGCGTTCGGCTCATTGAGTGCGAGCAGGCACATCGCACCCGGGCATCTTGCTCCAGCGTTCTTCTTCATGAGTAGGCAAAGGCATGTCCTAACTGGTGAGTCGACTCCTTCAGCGGGGCTAACTCAACATGCGAGCTGACTGGACCGACGAACAGCGCACGCACCTCGCTCAAAAACAAGAGGAACTTGCCGAGCTGAAAAGTCGCCTGGCACCCAAGCAGTTCGAAACCGCCCCTAAGCCGGAACCAGAGCCACCTCAGCTCGAAGATTGGCGCAAGCAACGCTTGGTCGCCTTATGCTTGTTGTGCTTTCTGAACGGCTCTGCCCTGATCACCACCAGCTACCACCTATTGTTTACCGCACCGGAGGATGTCGAAATCATCCTCACCTCCGAAGAGGTGCAGCGATTCATCCCCGAGGACGACCACAATCACGCTCTCCATCGCCTCCAAATCCCCTCGGACGATCTCGCCTTCCTCGCCTATTCCAGAGATCAAACTCACTCCAACCTGCTCGCCCTCGCCGTGGGGAATCTCATCTTCGTCGCCGCCCTGATCGACGCCTACCGCCGCGAGGCGCGGTTGCTGAAACAGCAGGTAGAACATTGACCTCAATGGAATCCACCGAGCGTTTCAATCGAAGTGCGGCGGTATGGAGTTACCGCACCAATTCCAGCGACGCCCATAAACTCGGGTCTTCCGCCATCGGTAGTGACGTTGGGCAACTCAGCGTCTGCGGACCCAGTTCGCTATCGTGCACGAGGTAGGTGAACCCCAACCGTGGATGTTCCGTGGGGTCGAATCCGGTGATGGCCTCGCGAGGCACGCAACCTTCCAGCACGTAGCCATCGACGCGGCGTTCGCTGCGCACTTGCATCATGCCGGCGGGGATCGGCTTGGGGTTCTCGCGGGCACGGTTGATCGGTTCGAAGTCGGCGAAGGGCTCCATGTACTTCGGCCCCGTGCCTGCCGGCAGAAAGATGAAGCGATGACAAAACCGCGACGCGCGATGGATCGTCTGCGTATCACGGGTGTCGATCCACACGTGCAGCCCGTCGCTGTCGCTAGGCCGTGAGTCGCGGCACCACGGTTGCCGGCGTTTGCCGGTAACGCGGACATTGAACACCACCCCGTTCTCGTTCCACGCCATGCGTACGTCGGCAAACTCTTTCACGCCTTCCAAAGTGCCGAACGACAGCAAGCGATACTTCGGCTCGAGCTGGCAACCCTTAGGCGACCAGATTTCTTTCCGCCACAAGCACGGCACGTCGAAGTGAAACAACAACCGCTGCGGGATCAGGGCTTCTGAAGTGGTGTCGGTCATGCGGTCTGCTTCGCCTCGCTGATGGTTGCGACGTGCTCACGAAAGAACTCGGCCAGATCGCCCCGGTGCAGGTCTTCACACGTGAGGAAGCTGAACTTAATCACGTCCTTGTCGGGATTGTCGGCCACAAACTCCCGGCCGCGGGCCAACTCGGCGATGCGGCCCAGGGCAAAGTGCCCCTTCGGTCCGTTCAATTGCAGTTCGAGCGACGACCACCGCTTGGTTTGCATGGTGGCCCACGGCTCTCGCTGGCCCTTCACGATGTAATGCACCACTTGTTGCGAGTTCCACAGGAATTGCCCACCGGGGGCCGCTTCGGTGAGCATCTCGCACAGTTCTTCCAGGGCTTCAGTCTCCCAGCGAATGGTCTTCCCCGGCGTGAAGCCCTTACGGGCGAAGTGCCATTTGCGGCCCAGTACCTTCCACGGCATCACGTCCTCGGGCGCCTGCTGCTTTCGCTTGGCGAATTTCTGGAACCCGTCGACGGCCTTCTCGATGAACTGCCAGAACTCGGGACGATCGATCTCGTCGTAGCCGTGCACCTGCAGTTGCACCTCTTGCCAGGGACCGCGTAGTTGCCGGCACTTGATACGCGGTTGGTTCCCGTAAACCGGGAGATCGTGCATTTCGTTCAGCGGTTTCAGGTCGAGTTGCTCGATCAGCTTGCCTCGCTCGAAGGTGCGCTTCGCCACCCGGAACTTGAGTGTTAGTAACCAAGGGTGTCCCGTAAGAGCGTGGAAGAACCAACCGTCGCTTTTCTTTTCGGCAGCGATCTCCACGGTGGTGCGATGGTCGTAGTTGGTGTCGCCGAAGTCGCCCAGCTTCTGAATGCGATCGATCACAGCGGAAAGAATCCGCCCGTCCCAGCGGCACGCCTCGCCGTCGCGGCCCACGCGATCTTCGGTGTGCCACTTCCGCCCGTCCGACTGCCACGGCATCTTCGCGTCGCGGCCCACATCAGTGAGTTCCAGGTCGCTCTCGCGTTTCTCTTCCACCGCGGCGAAGTCGTACTTCTCTCGCTCGCAATAGGTCGCCGTGGCGAACACCTTCTCGAGCAACTCGCCCGTGTAGCAACGCAGTGGACCGCCGTCCGAGCGACCATTCCCATTGCTGCTGGTGGCCGCGCGATACCGCTGGGCGTGGGCCACGATTTGCTCGGGCGTGCCTTGTGCGACCAGGTGTCCGCCACCTTCGCCCGCCTCGGGCCCCATGTCGATCAGGTAGTCGGCCGTTTTGATCACGTCGAGGTTGTGTTCGATCACCACCACCGTGTTGCCCAGGTCGACCAGGCGATTCATCACGTCGAGCAGCTTCACCAGGTCGTCGAAGTGGAGGCCCGTCGTGGGTTCGTCCAACAGGTACAACGTGCGACCGGTATCGGGCCGCGACAGCTCGGCGGCCAACTTCACACGTTGGGCTTCTCCACCGGAAAGCGTGGGGGCCGGCTGACCAAGCGTGAGATAATCGAGCCCCACGTCGCATAGCATTTCGAGAATGCGGCGGATCTTAGGGATGTTCTCGAACAGCTTGGCGGCCTCACCGCAGGAGAGGTTCAACACGTCGGCAATGCTGTACCCGTGGTACCGCACGGCCAGCGTCTCGGGGTTGTACCGCTCGCCCTTGCAGGTTTCACATTCAACCCACACGTCGGGCAGGAAGTGCATCTCGATACACTGCTGACCGTAGCCCTCGCAGCTTTCACAGCGCCCGCCAGGCACATTGAAGCTGAAGCGTCGCGCCGTGTAGCCCCGCAGTTTCGACTCGGGCATTTGCGAGAACAGCGTACGAATCAAATCGAACAGGCCGGTGTAAGTGGCCGGGTTCGAACTCGGCGTGTTGCCCAACGGTTGTTGGTCGACCTGAATCACCTTGTTAATCAGTTCGACGCCCCGCAGTTCGTCGTGAGCACCGGGTACGGTTCGTGCTCGATGTAGCGTGCGCGACAGCGAGGCGGCCAACACATCGTCGACCAGCGAACTCTTCCCCGAGCCGCTCACGCCCGTGACCACGGTGAACGTGCCCAACGGAATGCGAACATCGACGTTGTGCAGGTTGTTATGTCGGGCCCCGATCACTTCGAGCCAACCCCCGCCCGGCGGTTCATTCAGCGGCTTCTCCACCAGGTCGGATAGATCCACCGGCTTTGCCTTAGTCTTTCGGGTCGTGCTCGACTTCGCTTTCCGCCGCTTGGTCGGCTTTCCGTTACTCGGTTCTTCCAGTGGAGCCATGCGGCGATTCGATGGCACCGGGATGGAACTCTTCTCGCTTAGATACGGCCCGGTGACGGAAGTCTTTCGACGCGAGACTTGGGCCGGAGTACCGGAGGCCACAATCTGCCCACCGTGTCGTCCGGCGCCGGGACCGAAGTCGAGCAACCGGTCGGCCGCGTTGATCACCTCGCGATCGTGCTCGACCAGCAGCAATGTATTGCCCAAGTCGCGAAGTTTGGCCAGGGCGTTCAACAACCGGTCATTGTCTCGCGGGTGCAGGCCGATCGTCGGTTCGTCCAACACATACAACACACCGGTCAGTCCGCTGCCCACTTGGGAGGCCAGCCGAATCCGTTGGGCTTCACCACCGGAGAGCGTGGCCGCCGGTCGGGACAGTGTCAGATAGTCGAGCCCCACGTCGACGAGAAACTCGAGCCGGTTGCGGATTTCGCGGAGCAACTCACCGGCCACTTTGCGTCCCGATCCGCGAAGCTTCCAGCTTTTCGTAAGCGCCGACAACTGCCCCAGCGACAGCCGACACAGATGGTCGAGCGTGTGATCCATGAACCGCACGGCGGAGGCATCTTCCCGCAGGCGGCTTCCCCCGCAGGCCGAACACTCAACTTCGTCGACCAGGTGATCGAGTTTCGCCCGAAGTGCGGCCGACAGGCGGGCCGCTTCGTCGAGTGCCGGATAGAGACCTTTATATTGAAAGCGAAACGCCGGTCGGGTGGCTTTGCCTTTGACAGTCTTGCCGCCCACCTCGATCCAATCTTCACCGCAGCCGTACAGAATGATCCGCCGCTGGCGGGCGTCGAGTTCGTCGAACGGTTCATCGATCGACAAGTCGGCATGCGCGGCCAGTGCCTCGAGCATGGCTTTCGACACCGGGTCTTTCACATCGGGCCACAGGGCGACCGCTCCTTCGGCCAGCGACAACTTGGGGTCGTGCAGCAGCGCCGCGGGATTCGCCCCGGTCTGCGTGCCGAGGCCCTCGCACGATTCGCACCAGCCGAGGTAGCTGTTGAACGAGAAGCTGTGCGGAGTGAGTGGATCGAAGCTGCGGCCGCAACGATCGCAGGCGAAGTGCTGACTGTGGGTTCGAGTACGCCACCGCTCCTCCGGCAACTCGTCGCTGGCATAGGCCACACGGATGACGCCACGCCCCAGGGCCAGCGCACTTTCCACACTGTCGGCGATGCGGCTCCGCGACTTGCTGCGGATGGCGATGCGGTCGACCACCACTTCCACCGTGTGGCGTCGTCGCCGGTCGATGGTCGGCGGTTCGTCGATGGGGTAGGTCTTGCCGTCGATGCGAATACGCTGAAAGCCCCGTCCGCGGAGGTCGTCCCACAGGTTTTCGTAACGCTCGCCAACTTGAATCTCCAGCGGAGCGAGCAGGTAGAGCTTGGTCCCCTCGGGATCGCTCATCAGCTTGTCGACGATTTCGTCGGCCGTTTGGGTGCCGATCGCAATGTTGCACGTGGGGCAGTGCGGTGTACCCAACCGGGCGAACAGAATGCGGAAGTAATCGTAGATTTCGGTCACGGTGCCCACCGTCGAACGCGGCGTGTTACCGAGGTTCTTCTGCTCGATGGCCACCGCGGGCGAAAGTCCACTGATGTGATCGAGCCGCGGCTTCTGCATCTGTCCGACGAACTGCCGGGCATAAGCACTCAGGCTTTCAACGTATCGCCGCTGACCTTCTGCGTAGACGGTGTCCATGGCCAGCGAACTCTTGCCCGAGCCGCTAAGCCCGCAGCAGACGGTCATCTTGTCGCGAGGGATTTCGACATCGATCCCCTTAAGGTTGTGCTGCTGCGCCCCCTGCACCACGATCGACTTGATCTCCCCGTTGCCGTTGTTAGACGAAGTAACCTTCGTCATGGCGGCTTGTGCCTTGTTCTGCAGTTGCCGCCGCTTGGCGGGCGTCGCCGTGTCTCGCTCGAGGATCCCCTTCAGGGCTCGCCCGGTGTAAGAGTCTTCACACTCGGCAACCTGCTCGGGCGTTCCGGTGGCGATAATCTTCCCGCCGTGCTCGCCGCCCTCGGGGCCGAGATCGATAATCCAGTCGGCCGTCTTCACGACGTCGAGGTTGTGTTCGACGACCAGCACGGTGTTGCCGGCCTCAACAAAGCTATGCAACACACGCAGCAGCAATTCGATATCGGCGAAGTGCAGCCCAGTCGTCGGTTCATCGAGTAGATAAAGAGTCTGTCCGGTGCTCTTCTTCACCAACTCGCGGGCCAGCTTAATTCTCTGTGCCTCGCCACCGGAGAGTGTGGGTGAGGGTTGTCCGAGTTTTAGGTAATCGAGCCCCACGTCGTGCAGCGTTTGCAGCTTGCGATGTACCGCGGGGATATTTTCGAAGTGTTCAAGCGCCTGTTGGATGTCCATCTCCAACACGTCGGCGATCGACTTGCCTTTGAACTTCACTTGCAGTGTTTCGCGATTGAAGCGGTGTCCTTCGCACACGGGGCAAGTGACCCATACGTCGGCCAGGAAGTCCATCTCGAGTTTTTTCGAGCCGTTGCCTTCGCAGGCCTCGCAACGCCCACCGGCCACGTTGAAGCTGAACCGCCCGACCTGGTAGCCACGTGTCTTCGAGTCGGCGAGTTGAGCGTAGAGCTTGCGAATGTCGTCGAACACCTTGATGTAGGTGGCCGGGTTCGAACGGGGCGTGCGCCCGATGGGTGACTGATCGATGGCGATGAGTTTGTCGAGATGATCGAGCCCGTCGATTCGTTCGTGTTCGCCGGGGTCGCCTTCGCCGTTGTTTAAGTCGCGTCGCAGGGCTTCCACCAGAATGTCGGACACCAGCGAACTCTTCCCCGATCCGCTGACGCCAGTGACGCAGACAAACTTGCCGACGGGGATGGCGACGTCGACGCCCGTCAGGTTGTTGTGCTTCGCCCCCACCACGGTCAACCAGCGATCGTCGAGCTCCCGGCGCTGCTCGGGCACGGCGATCTTGCGTTTGCCGGCGAGGTATTGCCCGGTGACGCTACGGGGCTTCTTCACCACGTCTTTGAACGAACCGGCGACGACCACTTCGCCGCCGCGTACTCCGGGGCCGGGGCCAAAGTCGATGATGTGATCGGCGGCCAGCATCGTGTCTTCGTCATGTTCGACCACCACCACAGTGTTGCCCATGTCGCGGAGTCGGGCCAGCGAAGCGATGAGCCGATCGTTGTCGCGGGGGTGCAGACCGATCGAGGGTTCGTCGAGAATGTACAACACGCCCACCAGGCCCGAGCCAATCTGTCCGGCCAGCCGAATCCGCTGCGATTCACCGCCGGAGAGCGTGGGGGCCGTGCGATCGAGCGTGAGGTAGTCCAAGCCCACATTGAGCAGGAAGCCAAGCCGACCGCGGATTTCTTTCAGCACTTCTTCGGCGATGTGCTGACGCACCGGGTCGAGGTCCAGGTCGCTGAAGAACATGGCCGCTTCGTCGACCGACAAGGCACACACTTCCGGCAGCGTGCGCTGTGTGGCTTCGGCAAAATGTTCGTGACGGGTCGTGAGCGTAACGGCGGCCGCCTGTTCGTTGAGCCGCTTTCCCTGGCACGACTCGCAGTCGTGTACGCTCATGTACTTCTCAAGCTGCCGCCGCTGCATGCCGCTTTTGGTGGTGCCGTAGCGGGAGAGCAACTCGGGAATGATCCCCTCGTAGTGCCCGCCATACTTGTGACCCCGCGAGCCTTGCCGCCACGTGAACGTGATGTGCATCTCGTCGGTGCCCCACAGCAGGTACTCCTGTATCTCGGGGCTCAGCTCGTTCCAAGGCGTGGTGAGAATCGAATCGGGTTCCAGCTCGAAGCGATGCTCCAGTGTTTCGGCAACCCCTGCATAGATATGACGGCGCCATCGCCCCAAGTCGCGCCAGCGACCGATCAGTTCGAAGCAGCCTTGCTTGAACGAAAGCGAATCGTCGGGGATTAGCAGCTCGCTGTCGAAGCTGTAGACTTCGCCGAGCCCATCGCATTCCACGCACATCCCCTGCGGGCTGTTGAAGCTGAACAGTTGCGGGCTGGGCGGTGTGAAGCTCAGCGAACAATCGGTGCAGGCGTAGTGCGACGAGAGATGCAGGTCGTTGTTGTCGCTGCGCCGTCGCCCGCCGGTGCGACGACGTCGGCGTGGGGCAGGTTTACCTTCGGCGGTGGCTTCTTCTTCGGCCGGCTTCTCGGGCGTTTCAGCCTGTGCTTGCTTCGTGTCTTGGGCCACGATGAGGCTGCCCTTGCCGATCTTCAGCGCCAGGTCGACCGCTTCGGCCAGTCGTGGACGCACCGCGGTACCAGAGACCAGGCGATCGACGACGACTTCGATGTCGTGCCGCATCTGCCGATCGAGTTGCTGCTCGTCGCTGAGTTGCACCACTTGTCCGTCGACCCTGGCGCGGACGAAGCCCTGCTTCAACAGGTCGTCGAACAAGTCGCGAAACGCGCCCTTCTGACGATGCACGACCGGGGCCAACACCAGGATCCGCGTGCCCTCGGGCAGGGCCATGATCTGCTGCAGGATTTGTTCCCGGCTTTGGGCCGTGATGGGCTTGCCGCACGATGGGCAATGACCTTGGCCCGTGCGAGCGTAGAGCACCCGCAGGTAGTCGTAGATTTCGGTGATGGTGCCGACGGTCGAACGGGGATTATTGCCGCTGGACTTTTGCGAGATGGAAATCGAGGGGCTCAGCCCTTCGATCAGGTCGACCTCGGGCTTGGGAAGTTGGCCGACGAACTGGCGGGCGAAGGTCGACAGGCTCTCGATGTAGCGTCGCTGACCTTCGGCGTACAGCGTATCGAACGCCAGCGAACTCTTGCCCGAGCCGCTGACGCCGGTGAGGCAGATTAGCTGATTCCGCGGGAGGCGAAGTGAAATGTCCCGCAAGTTATGCTCGCGGGCACCCTGAATCACGATCTCCGAAGCAGGCATTGCGGCTCTTCGACTATTCCAAAAAGGTGTCCGTACCGGGGGCAAACCTGAAATTCTAGGTGATCGCACTTTGCACGGACAAGCACCCCCGGTAGAAGATTCGCAGAACAAGTACCAGAACCGCGACCCTGTAACGAACGGTATACTGATAGAGAGCAACGTGTTGCGTGTGCGACACTTGCTGCCGACCGAAAGTTTTCTGAACCCCTAGGGCCGCATGCGAAACGCCCAGCAGAGTGAACATCTCGAGGCCACCGGCGGTTGGGCCGAGCAGTTGCAGGGTCTTTATCGTGCGCTGAGGGAACTGGACAGACCGGCGTCTGAGCTGGGGGTTCCGCATCCCCACGGGCAGGAATGGTACGAACTGCTGGTTCACAAGCTGTTGCCGCAAGCCGAGACTCAGCCGTGGCTGGTGGTGGCCGTGGTGGGCGGAACGAACATCGGCAAGTCGGTAATTTTCAATCATCTGGCCCGCGAGGCCGCCAGCAGCGCCAGCCCATTGGCCGCCGGAACCCGACACCCGGTGTGCCTTGTGCCCGAGGAGTTCGCCGATAGCGAGCGGCTGGAAGAACTGTTCGAAGGGTTCGAGCTCGAGCGCTGGCATAGCAGCGATGACCCCCTGTCGAAAGATCCGGAGAACAAACTCTTCTGGCGAACGAGCACCAGTGTTCCCCCGCGGCTGATGTTGCTGGATACGCCCGACATCGACTCCGATGTCCAGGTGAACTGGGAACGGGCCGATGCGATTCGCCAGGCGGCCGACGTGCTGATCGCCGTTCTCACACAACAGAAATACAACGATGCGGCGGTGAAGAAATTCTTCCGCCAGGCCGCGGCGGCCGACAAAGCGGTGATCGTGGTCTTCAACCAGGTGCACATTCAAGAAGACCGCGAGTACTGGCCGCAGTGGCTGCACACATTCGTCGATGAGACCGGGGCCCATCCCGAGTTGGTTTATGTCGTCCCGTCCGATCGCGCTTCGGCCGGAGCGTTGTCCTTGCCCTTTTACTTCGTGGGGAGCGACGGACGTGCCCCGTTGGCCGAGCCTGCTTCGCTAAGCGACGAGTTGGCCGCCATGCACTTCGATGCAATCAAGGTTCGCACGTTGCGGGGTGCCCTGCGAAGGGTGGTCGACCCGCGCGAGGGCGTGCCGGGTTATTTGCATTCGATTCGCGAGGCCAGCAGCGGGTTTGCCTCCGCACTGGAGGTATTGCAGTCGGCCAATGTGGCCCGCGTGGATTGGCCCTCACTGCCGCCGAAGATTCTGGTTCATGAAATATCGAAGTGGTGGGACGAGCGTCGTAGTGGATGGTCTCGCAGCATTCATGGTGCTTACCGCACGGTGTGGGAAGGCGTCACGTGGCCGGTTCGCAAGGGCTGGGAAGCGATGAACCCGCCGGCCCCCGACGCGATGGAGCAGTTCCAGAACCAGGAACGAGAAGCCATCACCAAGTCGGTCGAGCGACTGCTGGCCGAACTCGAACGGCTGGCCCAAGTGGGCAACGAAACGCTACGGCCGCGGATGCAAGCACTGCTGGGTGGAGGTGCACGAGCGAAGCTGCTTAGCACGCTGGCCGCACGGCACGAAGAGCTGCCGCCGATCGGGGACGACTTTCGCACTTACCTGCGAAAGGAACTGGACGCCTGGGCAGTCGAGCACCCGCAAGCCACGCGTTGGCTGCAATCGGCCGATCATGTGGCGGCCATCGCGCGACCGGCGATCAGCGTGAGCTTGTTCTTCGGCGGCATGATGATGATCGACGGGGTGGCCGCGCAGGCCGCGGGACAAGCTGCTACTCATCTGGCCACTGAAGTGACCGTGGCCAGTGGAATCACCGGCGGGGGCGACGCCGTGGTTGCGGCTTCGGGTTCGGGAGTCGCGCGGGCGGCGGCCCGCCTGTTCGGCAATCTGCAGCGTGGTTATGCAGAACTACGGGTACGGTGGTTCTATGAAACCCTGCAAGATGTGCTGCTGGGTGACGTGATTGCCGAGCTGCAGGTGGGGGCTGAAATTCCCACGAGCGACACTTTCCAACGCGTTGAAACGGCGGTCGCCCAGCTCGAAAATCTCATCGATTCTTCGCCCAATCGTGGGGGCTGATGTCGCGGCCTTCAACCGGCTAGAATCTCAAATCTTCCGCTCCGGTGCGACAAACTTACCGGTCCTGTCGATCGTACTTACCCCCAGGCCAGCGATTTCGCCAAGTTGCTGGCACCGGCCGCGGGTTGGTCCGTCAGGCGGTCGATAGCATACAATGGTTGAATCCCATTTATTCTATAGCCGTGCCTGTAGGGAACGCCCTCTGTGGCGTTCGGAGCGTAACGGCGGACGGCGGAACTGGTTCTCGGTTTTTGTTGGTGAATTTGTCTTGCTTCGATGCAGGACCGTGAGGACGGCATGTTGAAGTCGATCGAAGTGGTCTCCGGCTTGTTGCGCACGGTGCTGGGCCTGGTCATCGTGGGCATGCTGGGCGGTGGTGCCTGGTATGGTTACCAGATTTATCACGCCCGCGAGTTGACCGAGCAGCGGTTGGCCGATCGCGAACGGGAACTCGAAGCCCGTCAGCAAGAGCTGGCTGCCAGTCAGGCCGAAGTCGAACAACTCACCGGGAAGGTCGCCGAGCAGTCGGTGCAGATCGACCGGCTCGATACCGCCGTGCGACTGCTGAAGGTCGATCACCGCGTAGCTCAAATCGTGGTGGTTGGACAAGAACTCGGACCCGACGGTGAAGTGGAGACCACCACGTTCAACTTCGTCGAAGTCGACAACGACCAGAACGCTCTGGAGCAACCACGTACGTTCACCATCGAGGGTGACCTGCTGTACATCGACACCTGGGTGGCCAAGTTCGCCGACGAGCATGTGGAGAATGAAGATCCGTTGCGGTCCACCTCCATCTGCTTGTTCAAGCGACTGTTCAGCGAGAACCAGGCTCCCGTCGATGGCTTCGTGCTCGACCCGATTGGCAGCCGACCGGTGGCTTACAGTCGCGGTAGCGAGATGACGGAACTCGAACGTGATCTGTGGACGAACTTCTGGGACTACGCCAACGATCCCGAACGGGCCGAAGCCACCGGGATTCGCTCGGTGCACGGTGAAGCTCCCTCGATCGAACTCCGCCGCGGCAACGTCTACAAGCTAACCCTCCGCGCCTCCGGCGGTCTCTCAATCAACGCCGAACGCCTACCGCCGGGCTTGCAGCCGTTTGGGGCGTAGGGCGGTTATTGGTTGATCTAAAGTGCACTCGCACCCGACGCTGAGCAATCAGGGCAGTTTCTCAGGGTGCCACTGGCTTTGCCAGTGCTCAGGGTGGCTTGGGCTACAGCCCTATTCATGAAGTGGCTGAAGTTCATTTCTCTGGCAAACGAACTTGCAGAAAATGTTTAAAGCTTCGGTCGGCAAGACTTCAAGTTTGCATGAGGTGTAGAGTTCTGCCACAAGCCCAAGTCAAGGCACTGGCAGAGCCAGTGGCACCCAAGGCTGGACTGCTCAGACTCATGTTGTGCTGATTTCTTTGCGGAATGCATGAACCACTTCCTCGCGGTAGTTGTCCGTACTTAGCGTGAACCTGTGCGCCCATCGGGTATGTTGGTTGGCGTGCGTTTGGGGAATCTGCGTCCAGAACAAACTTCACATCTGCGCCGCATGCTGTGCGTAGGGGCAGTGAATCGAAAGCACTAGCATGAAATCGCGCGTTCATAACAGCCCGAACTTGATCTACTCGGTGGGAACGCAGGTCGTTTCGCTGAAGGCGGTTCAAGGGTCTCACGGCAAGACGGTCCATCCGGCGGGTGCGGTCGGGGTGGTGGTGCGGTCGCCGGTCGATCGACAGCATGCTTATCGGGTGCGGTTTGTCGATGGCTTCGAAGCGGCTCTTCATCACGACAACATCATGCTGCTGGCCGAGTATAAGGAAGGCCACATCAACGATCCCAATCAGGTGCTTCCGAAGCATGGGCTGTTCGATCGGGTGATCTACCGCTGCGTGGTTGGTTCGCGAGCGTTTGGCTTGGACACCGAAGACTCGGACTACGACCGCCGTGGTATCTATCTCCCGCCGGCCGACTTGCAGTGGTCGCTGTACGGCGTGCCCGATCAGCTCGAAAACGACGAGCGGCAGGAAGCTTATTGGGAATTGCAGAAGTTCCTCATCCTGGCACTGAAGGGCAATCCGAACATTCTGGAATGTCTGTATACGCCGCTGGTGGAACATAAGACTCCGCTGGCGGAAGAACTGCTGGGCCTGCGGGGAATCTTTCTTTCCAAGGTGGTTTACCAGACCTACAACGGCTATGTGATGTCGCAGTTCAAGCGGATGCAAGCTCATCTGCGGAACCATGGCGAGATCCGACCGAAGCACGTCATGCACCTCATTCGCCTGCTGCTCTCGGGCATTCACGTGCTGCGCGAGAAGCACGTGCAAGTCGATGTAGGCGAACACCGCGAGGCGCTGTTGGCCATCAAGACGGGCGACATGAACTGGTCCGAGGTTGAACAGTGGCGACTTCGTTTGCATGAGGAATTCAATCAAGCCCTAGAACAAACTGAGCTGCCCGAACGGCCCGACTACGAGCGGGCGAACGCGTTTCTGGTGAGAGCGCGGCGGTTGGCAGTGGAGGGTGAATTGCCTTGAGCGACTTGCCGAGCACCACGCTCCTGATTTCCTGGCGGCAATCCGAAGACAATCAGCTTATCTGGCGAGCAGCAGTCGAACGGGGTTGGTCGGTTGAGCGGATCAAGGGCATTCATGTACCTGAGATTGTTGAAAGCCGTGTTGTGATCTACATGGAGTCGATGTTTGCTCCAACCATCGCCAGCCGTCTCGGACTCGAGCTCACCCAGTTGTCAGACGATTGGGTACCAAAGCTACCTGAGGAGTTTCGACTGCGCGACATAAGATTGACGACACTGGGTGACATTGCTCAGACCAACCTTCCTCTGTTCCTTAAACCGCCGAACGAAAAGTCGTTTTCGGCAAAAGTGTATGACTGCATAGACTCGCTCTTGGCCGACTATGGTCCGACTACTCCTGTTTTAGCCGCACCACCTGTATCGTGGTCGTGCGAATTCCGCTGCTTCTGTCTCGATGGTCGCGTGCGCACTCTATCACCTTATCTGCGAGACGGAGAATTAAGCAGTTTGGAAGGCTTTACCGCGACAGCAAGCGAAATGGAACAAGTAAAACACTTTACTGAACGCGTGCTTCTGGACGAACGGGTAGAGTTCCCGCGAGCGATCGTCATCGATGTGGGAATCATCGTCGGGCGGGGATGGGCGGTAGTCGAGGCGAATCCAGCGTGGGGATCGGGCATCTATGGTTGTGACCCCAATGAAGTTCTGAACGTGCTTGAGAAAGCAACGGTGAAGTTAGATGAATGCTAACGCAATTCCTTACGACAAACTCCAAGCCCAGGTAACGGCGCATCCGTATCCTCTGGTTTTCGCAACGATCAGTGGCTCGCACTTGCTTGGCTTTCCGTCGAGCGATTCGGACTTTGATCTGCGGGGCATGCACTTGCTGCCGTTGGAAGAGGTGGTCGGTCTGCGTGCGCCGAAGGAGACGATTGAACGGAACATCGTGCAGGATGGTTTGGAAATCGATCTCGTCACGCACGATGTGAAGAAATTTTACTTATTGATGCTGCAGAAGAACGGCTTGGTGCTGGAGCAAATCTTTTCGCCGCTGGTCGTGCATACCACGCCTGAGCATGCGGAGTTGAAGGAGCTGGCCAAGGGCTGTATCACTCGGCACCATGTTCATCATTACCTCGGGTTCGCAACGACGCAGTGGAAGCTGTTTCGCAAGGAAGAGCCGCCCCGGGTGAAGCCGTTGCTGTATGTCTATCGTGTGCTGCTGACCGGCATTCACTTGATGCGCACCGGCGAGGTTGAAGCGAATCTGCTGACGCTGAATGAAACTGCCCAACTGCCGTACATCGACGAGTTGGTCGAACGCAAGTTGTCCGGCGCGGAGAAGGGGCGACTGGACTCCGTCGACGTCGACTTCCACGAACGAGAATTTGAACGACTGGTAAACGAGATGAAGACGGCGGCCGACGAATCGACCTTGTCCGAGCGACCCTCGGCCAAAGACGGCTTGAGTGACTTGCTGGTGCGGCTGCGAACCGGCGGTTGGAAGAAGCTCTGAAGTCGGTTTCGACCCTCGTTTGTTTTGTTGCGGTCAACCTTTCTAAGGATGCTGTAGAAAAATTGTGGTTCCGGAACCACGCTTCGCGCTTGGGAATGATCGGGACGGCTGTGGGATGGATTGTTGGTGGCGACACGCGGTCTTGTGATTGATGCTGTCTGCCGATCGCCTGGCCATCGGTTCGGGCATCCACTTGCGTTCTGTTGAATGCAGCTCGCAAGTGTCTTTTTCACGGGCGTTTGAAGGTCGGCTGAACTCGACTGAGCAGGCACGCCTTCAAGGCTCGAAAATCAGATCACACAATACCTCGCCACAACAAACTCATCTCACCAGAGCTGGTGCAAAAGATCCGTCGACCCCCGCTGCCAACTCCACCCTCGCGACCCCACGCCCCCAGGCAAGACGCAGAACCCACGCACTATAGTGCCGAGGTGGGAGGGAAATCTCAATGTTTGTTTTTGGCCACCCCAGGTTGGGGAGTTGTGAGTGAGAGCTGGTTGTGAATGATAGGCGCGGTGGTGAGTTTGAGCGGGGAGATGAACCACGACGGCACTACGGCAAGAAGTAAAGGGGTAGGAGTAAGGTGTTGTGGCGAGGCTAGTCATCAGTCCTTCAGGTGATCCATGCGATCGGACTTACGAGGGTTCTTTCGGTTTCTTGGTTTTGTCTTCTTCCGCGTCCTTGCCTGCTTGAGCATGGGTGCGGCCGTGAATCGTGGTTCCATCCGCCTTCGAGAAGTCGTAAATCATGTCGGAGTTTGCAGTGTGAATGACCACGGACTTTGCCTGATCGTCTACGACGATCTTCCAGTTTGGATCGAACGTCAGTGAGGCCTTAATCGTCGAATAGTATGCAGCCTCGGTGTTATAGGGTTTTCCTTCGATTAGGTTTTCTAACCCCCGGCCGACACCCACACCCTCTTCTGCCAGTTGGAAACTTCGAGTTGTGATTGCCCAATCGAGAGTATTGCAGCTGGCAGACACGACAATATCGTCCAGCCAATCAATATTGTGAAAGGCATGTGATCCCGTTGTTTGAATAGTGACGGTTCCGGTTGGCGGTGGCTGCTTGGAAACAAGTGCAGAACCTAGCATGAAACTGAACACCAAGACCACTGCGATAATCACGACTATGAGACGCCTTGGTCTATTCATCACTCAATGTCCTGCTGCAGGATTTGTCGAGGTTATGAATGGCTCTAGTTTGATTCGATTTTCGAAATGCAGAATAGGTACTAAAGCACAGAGTAGGGAGGACCTGTTGACCACGCACCTAAGACAAACTGCGGAGCGAGCAGTTGTGCCAGGCTGCAGTAACGTGACCGAAACGGTATGTTAACCTCCAACTGCAGGATCTTGGAATCATTCTTCAAGTTGCATGAGCAGAGGTGATCTATGCCGGGGCCTCTTGAGCTTTTGATCATTCTAGTAATTGTGGGTATTCCCGTTGCGCTACTGTTTGTTGTGATAGCCGCGCTTCGTAAGAAGTGAGAATGACGCCGACGATTTGCGATGACTGACGAAATGACGGAAATCAAACAGATGAACTTCGGGTGGCTGCATGCGCCGCCGTTTCCGCCGGCGTGTTGTCATTGCTTGATGGTTCGCTCGGGGACTGGTGTTGTGCTGGTGGATACGGGGATTGGTCTGCAGGACATTGCCGATCCGGTGGGGCGAATTGGGCAGGAGGCGATTGATGCCGCGGGGTTTTTGTTTCTGCCTGCGATTACGGCGGTTCGTCAGCTAGAGCAGTTGGGGATTCGGCCGATGGAGGTTAGCGACATCGTGCTGACACACTTCGACCCCGATCATGTCGGTGGACTGGCTGACTTTCCGCAGGCCAAGATCCACGTCGCCGAAGAAGAGAAGCGGAACTTGGACTCGGGCAATCCGCGTTACAGTGCCGCGCAGTTTGCTCACAAACCTAATTGGATCACCTACGAGACGGATGATTGCGATACGTTGGGGGTCGCTTCTCGGCGGGTTCACACGGCCCTGGGAATTGATATTCGGTTGGTTCCGCTGTTCGGACACACGAATGGACATTGTGGCGTGGCCATCCAAGCGAATGACGCTTGGACGCTTCATGTTGGTGATGCTTACTATTTGCGTGATGAGTTGACCAATACGAAACATCCGGTTGATGAGTTGGCAACGTTGAGGGCTGACGACAATCAGCGGCGGTTGGAATCGCTGGAGGTTCTGCGGCAACTCACGCGGCGCACGGATGTTGAGCTGACTTATTTCGGGTATCACGACGTGGGTGAGCTTCCGGGTGATATTCTGCGGCTTGAGGATGTGGGAGATTGAGGTTGGGCCGAAACAGAAGGCCTCCGGCGGCTGCGCCGCACCGGATCGAGATCCGGTGGTACCCCGGTCCGCGTCCCTATGGTTCTTTTAGGTCTGTGCAGGAAATGAATCATGAAACTGCCTGAGGTGCTGAAGGAGTTGAAGGGCTATGGCACGGAGCAGAACCGTAAGGTGTATCGGCGGCATGGTGTGGGTGGGGATGTGTATGGTGTGAGCTACGCCCACTTGGGGAAGTTGCAGAAGGCGATTGGGTTGGATCAGGAGTTGGCGCTAGCGTTGTGTGACTCGGGCGTGCACGATGCGCGGGTGTTGGCCACGATGGTGGCTGATCCACAGGCGATGAAGTCGGGCGATCTCGAGCGGTGGTGCAAGTCGCTCGATAACTATGTGGTGACCGACGCTTTCGTGAAGCTGGCCGGGAAGTCGCGGTTCGCCCAGGCGAAGATGAAGAAGTGGATTCGCTCGCGGAACGAATGGATCGCCAGCGCCGGTTGGGGTGTGGCGGGCAGCCTGGCCTTGCAGGACGAGGGGCTAAGCGGGGAAGAAATGGATGGCCTGTTGGAGACAATCGAGGGGGACATTCATCAGCAGAAGAACCGCGTGCGGCATGCGATGAACATGACGTTGATCTCCATCGGGCTGCATAGCGAGGCGTTCAAACGAAAGGCCAAGGCTGCGGCGAAGCGGATCGGCAAGGTCGAAGTGGACCACGGCGAGACGAATTGCAAGACGCCTGATGCGGCCGCTTACATTGATAAATCGTGGGAACACAAGCGGCGGAAGCATCGATCCTGCTGATTTTTTTCAGGCGGACTTTGCAGAGCACCTCTGGGCGAGCCGCCGGTGGCACCCGGTTGTCGAGTGAGTTTCGAGATTGTGGGGGGGCCGACTGTGCTGAGCACCGCTGGGCTAGCCAGCGGTGGCACCCACATACATCTATAAGTGTCATTGCTGGGGATCGGTGCCGGCTTCTGGGACAGCAGACAAGTTGCCGGTTAGAGGTTAAACTACGGCGTTTTCGCTGCCGTACCCTAGCTTGAGTGTGCGCCGTTGATGTCGCAACCGCATGACGAACCGCCCTCCGACGCGGCCTACCAGCAGGCGGTCAACTTCCTGCTCGATCGGATCAATTACGAACGTTCGCAGCATATGCCATACAGCGATCGGGCGTTTAAGCTCGACCGGATGCGGCAGTTGCTCGAGCGATTGGGCAACCCTCACCTGCAGTTGCGGATCGTGCATGTGGCCGGCACGAAGGGGAAGGGCTCGACCTCGGCGATGATTGCCGCCGCGATGAAAGCGGCCGGCTACAAAGTCGGGCTGTTCACCTCGCCGCATTTGTTTCGCTTGGAAGAGCGTGTGGCGGTGGGGGGCGAGCCCTGTCCGCCGGAGGAGTTGGTGGCCCTGGTCGACGACATCCGCGAGGCGGTCGATGTGATGGATCGCTCGCCCGAGCCGGACGGGGGACCGACATACTTCGAACTGATTACCGCGCTGGCCATGTTGCACTTCCGCAGGCAGCGTGTTGATGTGGCGGTGCTGGAGGTGGGCCTGGGGGGCAGGCTCGACTCGACCAATGTTTGCCAGCCCGAGGTGGCGGTGATCACCAGCATCAGCCTCGATCACACGCGGCAACTAGGAGACACGCTGGCCGAAATCGCGGGCGAGAAGGCCGGCATCATCAAGGCGGGCGTGCCGACGATCAGTGGCGTGAAGCAGGATGCCCCGCGGGAGGTGATTCATCAGGTGTGCGTCAATCGTGGCTCGCGGTTGATCGAAGTCGATCGCGATTTCTCCGTGACCTATCATCCGCCAAAAGACATGGCCCAAGCAGCGGAACTCGCGCGGTTCGACTATCACGTCGCTGAGGCCACCGACGAGGAGAGCTGGCGTGATGTGGCCTTGGGTTTGATCGGGCAACACCAAGCGGCCAATGCGGCGGTGGCGTTGGCGACCTTGTTGGAACTTCGGCGGCAGGGGTGGAGAATTTCAGAGCAGGCGATTCGTAGCGGGTTTGAGAAGTTGAGCTGGCCGGCCCGCGTGGAGGTGATTTCCCGCTGGCCGACGGTGGTGCTCGACGCCGCCCATAATGTGGCTTCGGTCGAAGCGCTGATGCTTACGCTTTCCGAAAGTTTCACCGCGCGGCGACGGGTGTTAGTGTTCGCCACGGCGCAAGATAAAGACGCCGCGGGGATGTTGCGGGTGTTGGGCGAGCGATTCGACGAGGTGATCATCACCAGCTATCGCGATAATCCCCGCGCGATGCCAGCGGCAGAGCTTGGGGTGATTGCCCGCGATGTGCTGCAGAGGGATACGGGTGAGGGGATTCCGATTACCGTTTGCGATGACCCGACGGCGGCGTGGGAGCACTTGCGGACCCGCGTCGAATCGAGCGACTTGGTTTGCTGCACCGGTTCGTTCTTCATCGCCGCCGATTTGCGCCGCGAAGCAGACCGCAGCCCGTTGGTCGAGCCGGTGGCGCGAGAATCGGCTTGAGTCGGCAGGTGGGTCACATTCGGATCGGCATACCCTGGGTGGCCCGGCCGCTTCGGCTGGGTCGGCGCAGCCGACAGGATGCCTTGAGAGTTGCCAAGACCCTCGAAGGCGATGAGTTTCGAGGAGCGGTTCGCAATCACAACGGAATCACGAATAGATTTCGATACCAGTGAATGGCGAGTTAAACCCTCGAAGAATCGATTGCAAGCGTTCGGATGCGATGGTGGGGGGTGCTGTTATCAAAGCATCTTGTCGGCTGCGCCGATTTAGCCGACACGGCTGGACCACCCACGTGCGCCTGATCCATGTTTTCTTTTTGTCTGCCCAGTATGCTGCACGGCGGTTTTCAATCGAGCATAATGGGAGCCCGTGCTTGAAGAGGGCAACCTTGTTGAGAGAAGCAGCAACCTGCCGGCCGCAGAGGTCGAGGCGTAGCGAAGCGTGAGGATGGTTGATGGATTTTGAATTGAGTGATGAGCAGCGGATGATTCGCGATCTGGCGCGGAACTTCGCGCGGAAGGAGATTGCCCCGGCCGCGGCGGCGTTGGATCGTGAGGAGGCCTTTCCGACGGAGATCTATCGCCAGGCGAAAGAGCTGGGGCTGTTGAACCTGACGGTGCCGGAGGAATACGGCGGAGCGGGGCTGGGGGTGTTGGAACTGGTGCTGGTGGCCGAGCAATTGGCCTGGGCCTGTACGGGCGTGGCGCTTTCGCTGGAATTGAATGCCGTGGTGGCCGACGCGTTGGTGGTGGGGGGCGACGAGCCCCTGAAGAAGGAATACCTGGGCCGCCTGGCCGAGGGACAAATTGGTTGCTATGCGTTGACCGAACCGGGGGCCGGTTCGGATGTGGCCGGTATCGAATCGACGGCCGTGCTGCAGGGCGATCGGTATGTGATCAACGGGTCGAAGACCTGGATCAGCAATGCGACCGAATCGACGTTCGGGGTTGTGTTTGCGAAGAGCGACCCGGAGGCGCGACAGCGGGGCATTACGGCGCTGGTTGTGGATATGGATGCTCCCGGAGTGACCATCGGGCGGAAGCTCGAAAAGCTGGGGCAACGGGCGTCGCCGGCGGCCGAGCTTCGCTTTGATAACGTGGAAGTTCCTGTCACGCGTCGGCTGGGGGCTGACGGGCGGGGGTTCGAAGTGGCGATGAAGGTGTTCGACCGCTCGCGGCCGATGATCGCCGCGTTGGGGTTGGGATTGACCGAGCGTTGCTTGGACGAGGCCCTGACGTATGCGGGCGAACGGCACACGATGGGCCGCCCGATTCTTCGCCATCAAGCGATTGGACACAAGCTGGCCGACATGGCGATGCGGCTCGAGGCCGGTCGTCTGTTAACTTATGAAGCCGCCTGGATGGCCGACAAAGGTTTGCGGAACACGATGCAGGTCGCGTTCTCGAAGGCGTTCGCTACCGATACGGCCACGTGGGCGGCGAGCGAAGCGATTCAAGTTTTCGGTGGGATGGGCTACAGCCGCGAGATGCCGCTGGAGAAGCTCTATCGCGATGCCAAGGTGATGCAGATCTACGAAGGCACGAACGAGATCCAACGCAACATCATGGTCCGCGAACTGAGCAACCGGTAAGGCGAGAGCGATGAGGAGTAACGCAGCATGCAGGGACTCATGATGGATTTTCAGCTCACGTTGCCCGCCATGTTGCGGCGGTGTGAGCAACTTCACGGCCCCAAAGAGATCACGACCAAACTGCCCTCGGGCGATGTGCATCGTTACACGTATGCCGACATGGTCGAGCGGACCAAGCAGTTGGCCGTGGCACTGAAGAAGCTGGGGGTGGCCGAAGGCGATCGCGTGGCCACGCTGTGTTGGAATCACTACCAGCACCTGGAGGCCTACTTCGCCATTCCGTGCTGCGGTGCAGTGCTGCACACGTTGAACTTGCGACTGCATCCCAGCGACCTGGCTTATATCGCCGGGCACGCGGGCGACAAGGTGTTGATTGTCGACGAGTCGCTGTTGCCGCTGCTGGAACAGTTCCGTAACGAAGTAAAGTTCAAACACATCATCGTGGTCTGCGAGCCAGGGAGCACGCCGCCGGAAGGGATGCTCGATTACGAGGAAGTGTTGGCCGACTCGGCCGCGGGGGCGTTCGACTATCAAGAGTTGGACGAGCAGCAAGCCGCGGCGATGTGCTACACCTCGGGCACCACGGGGCGCCCCAAGGGAGTCGTGTATTCGCATCGTGGGATTTTCTTACACACGCTGGGGACGATGACCGTCGAGGGGTTGGGCATTCGCGAGACCGACATCTGCCTACCGGTGGTGCCGATGTTTCATGTGAATGCGTGGGGGTTGCCGTTCACGTGCGTGTTCATCGGGGCAAAGCAGGTGTTCCCGGGCCCTCATCTGCAGCCGCAAAGTTTGCTGGAGCAGTTGGCCCAAGAACGCGTGACGGTCACCGGCGGCGTACCAACCATCTGGCTGGGGATGCTGCAGATTCTGGATAAGGATCCTGAGAAGTACGATCTGTCGAGCTTGAGGGCGATGGTTGTGGGTGGCTCGGCCGCACCACGAGCGATGATTGAAGGTTTTCAGAACCGCCACAACTTGAATGTGGTTCATGCGTGGGGCATGACCGAGATGAGCCCGATGGGGACGAACTCGCAGTTGCCCAGGCGGTTGTTGGATGCTTCGGACGATGAGCAGTTCGCTTACCGTGCGAGGCAGGGGCGACCGATTCCGTTGGTTGAAATTCGCGGTCGCAACGACAACGGGGAGATTCCCTGGGACGGTCAGGCAATGGGCGAACTGGAAGTGCGGGGCCCGTGGATCGCGCGGTCGTATTACGAAAGCCCCGAGGGTGCCGTTTCGTTCACCGAAGATGGCTGGTTTCGCACGGGCGATATCGTATCGATCTTTCCCGATGGATCGATGCAGTTGCAAGATCGGGCGAAGGACGTGATCAAGTCGGGCGGCGAGTGGATCTGCTCGGTCGCTTTGGAGAATGCCCTGATGGGGCACCCGGCGGTGGCCGAAGCGGCGGTGATTCCTTGCCCTCATGCGAAGTGGGACGAACGCCCGTTGGCAGTGGCCGTGTTGAAGGAGGGCCAGAGTGCGACCCCCCAGGAGTTAAAGTCGTTCCTGGAACCGCAATTTGCAAAGTGGTGGCTGCCGGATGATGTGGTGATGGTGGACGAAATTCCCCGTACTTCTGCCGGCAAGTTTCTGAAAAGGGCGCTACGCGAGCAGTTTCAGGACCATTATACTAAGGCCTCGGATTGACCGTTCTCGCGTGGGGTCGTGCTGCCGGGATGTTGCAGCAGACGAGTTAGAACGG